CCGCCGAAGTCTGGGGTGATCGTCGGCCGAGGGGAGTCCGCGTGGGGCCTGTCTGCACACAGCAACGCAGCAGCCTGTGTGATGATGCCTTTGGGTATTCCGTTTTTCGATTTTTGCTGAAATCGGTCCTTCAAGGATTAAGTTTGAACGGAATCACATTCGTTCTCTCCCTCTGTCGCGGCGTGTTTGCAGGTGATCTTGCTGTCTCGGCCAATTGGTCGACTATTCGCAACTCTAATGCTCACTCAATGCTCGCCCATAGGCGTCCTATTCTCGGATGTGTGTACAGGGCTATTAATGACGTAGGGCCCCGTGCGTTAACATTATGCACGGGGTAGCTGAGCGAAGTGCATTAATATAACAGAAGACGTAACAAATATTGAACAAAACTATAATGAATGAGGGTCCGCCTAGTAGGTAGGCAACCGATTCTGCTCCTTGAACGTGAGAGATGGTGGAGGGACCAGCCGGGCCTTAAACCGCGGCCTGGTCTGGTTGGGTCGCTGTATTCAACTAGAGTTCAAATCCCTTGCCCCCCCCCCCCCTCTCTCTCTCTAGAACAGGTACTTTTAGTGAGTAGTAAACTTGAGTAATTACTATGCAATAGAATAGATTTGGAAGTCCACTAGAAAAGCTTGATACTGGGAAGTCTGGTTTCTATTTGTGGTGTTCTGGACTAGCAGAAAGACGGTTAGTTATACACCTGGCCACGGGGGGCGCGCGCAGCGCCACCGGAGGCCAGGCGGTGAGTCTGAGTCGCTAGTCAGTCAGTTCGGCAGCGGTCCAGTACTGAGTAGTGGTCTGCACCTCCCTCTCAGAAGCAGAGTAAACACCAAGTTATTAGTTATCTTTTACCCCCAACATGGCCCGCCCACGGACACAACACTATTCATCAAAATACATGGTTGATTTGTTTTGGTAAACACACAACTGTTACAGTGGCTGGACATAGAGGGGTGTGGGGTGGGGGCTTAAATTTATGCGTTCCTGAAGTTCATACAGAATATGCCTGCTCCTGTCCCTTCCTTTCCCCACTGCCCTCCCCCTACTCAATTTACCCGTTTCTGTAATGCCACATGATGCTCCCATTACATTCAATTCATTTTATTTGTGAAAGGTGAAATTCTATTAGGTTGCCTCTGGTTGAAGTGAAATTAAATACCCTAATATTTAATTTAATTTCAGAATACATTTAAAATTTTCACCTACGACAAGTATAACTTGTCGCTCTTTCATTCATTTTTATCAGATCTCTCCGAAGCATTTGAAGGATCACAAGTCGCTGAAGTATATTTAATTGAAACTT